ACTATTTATTTTACTTTTCAATATGTTTTTGTCAACTGGGTTACACATCCATCCATCCATCCATCCATCCATCCATCCATCCATCCATTTTACCTGATGGTACAGACTCGAAAACCAAATCATGTCATGCTCACCATGCGTTTAACATTTTTTAGGGTGAAATAAGGGTGAAGAAGACTGTGATGGACCCTGTAGTTGTGTCATCCCTCAGTTGTGTGCTGGGAGCGCCATCTTGTGTAGAATGCTCTCTCATTATTTTTGCCCAAGACAGGTGTTGCCCGGTTAGGTTCGATCTTGTTTGGCCATCGGTCAGATCTTGTGTGGGGTGGGGAAATGCAGAAACAGGAAAAGGTGATATTGTAGGAACTGTTTATTGAGAAACATGCCTGAACTCTGAATGTGCCGGGGAAATTTGCTCCCTTGCAAAATTCCAATGCTGATTTTTTTTTTGGCTGATTTATTGGAGTAGATTCATCAGTAATCTTCTAAATATGTGTAATTTTGTCAAAGGTCACTTGTGGATTTTATGTGGATGTTTTTTTTAAAATGAAAACTCAAAAATATAAATCAATAATGTGCTAATTTGAGTATTAGAAATAGAAATGAATATATTCTATACAGATTATATCCTCAGAATGCAACTGTGGCTGTCTAAAGTCACCATGGCCACAAAACTGAACCAACAATGCATTCAAAAAGAGCTTTGTTACACATCCTTTAATCAAAAACTTAACATTACACACATAATGAATCTGTGAATATATGGGTAATGCTGAATTACCCATGTAGGTTGGTCAAAATATTTAAACCCATAATAATTAATCAATTTAAGATCTAATATAAGGGAAATAAAGTATTCACCGTAAATTCACATATTTTTTCTCTACTCTACTTTTTAAAGGTTTGTGTAAAGAAAACTTTGACCTCTGACCTCTTACTGAATCTGTTTGTTCAGTTCATTGCACAAAGCCCTTCCAATTTTGGCTTTTTTCTTCTTCTGTTTGCTGAGGCTGAGGTTTAGCCTTGCTTTGGCTGTGTGCTGCACTTTGCCTGTGCTGACTTCTCTTCAGGTTTCTAAAACAATATTTTCCCACAAGAAATGTCTCTTGACCTTATTGTATCCTGCAGGAGTAATCACAATTGATCTGCTGTAGTTACTCCAAATAGTCCAAAGGAAACACAGTATATTTGACTTTGCCTTTCTTGGAACCTTTTTCAATGTTCTGAATTCTGTATTTAATCTGTATTTCATTAGGGTTAAACTACATTTAAGGAGAAAAAAACATCAATTCCTATCATTAAAACACTCCATAAAAGCACTCATGTGGGTGTTTACATGTGGATAAAGGCAAATGGAAAGACTGGAACATCTGTCATGTGTGCATCTGGACATATTGAGAGGCATAAGACTGCCGTTTGGAGTTCCCACTGTTCTCCATGTCTGACTCAGACTCCTCCTGTTCCTCTGCGTCTGTCTCCTCTTCATCATCTTCCTCCTGTTCCAGCTCATCCTCCACGCCTCTCTGATGATGCAAATTGCTGATAGACTGCAAATAAAGTTAGCACAGAATCTTAGGGTTGACAGTCTCCCCCTTAACAAACTTCTAAAGTTGTGCATAGCGTAGATAAAATGACGGTGAATGAGACTCACCCTTTTCACTTCCTCTTTATGTCGGCTCTGACCTGCTGCAGAGGCTCTCGCTGAATTTAGGCCCTGTGTTTTTAAGGGGGTCTGAGGAGATGCGGAGTAATGGTTTCTGAAACGAGGGGAGTTGATGCCAAAAGCACTGTCCTGGGGGCCATCTTGAGAGTCAGACATCCTGTTTCGGGCGGTGAAAAACTGTAACCGAACAGATAACAGATGAAAAAACACGGTTGGGATACTCATATCTTTAAGGATAGAAATAAACAGCCTTATACAACTTTGAAATAGAGAAACTTTCTTTTTCCTTTGATTTTTTTTTCTGACCTCATACTTTTCTAAAACTTATAAAATAGACAGTTTTAGATCCATTATTTCTGGAACACTTTGCACTGGTCTCATAGTGTAAACAATTCTTTGAACATCTACCTTTAAATAGTCATTTTATGTCATTAGATGTGTTACTTGCACCCACCTACCTCTAAATCCTTTTGAGTGTTTATTGCCTCTAGGTTGCCGTATGTGTGTGAGAACACTTCCAGTGCTTTAGCGTGGAAAAGCATCTCCACTGTGACAAAGTCTGTGAAAATTCTCTGACAAATAAAGATAGAGAAGAATAACTGTCAAAAGTCAGAAGATAAAACTTTATCCTTCGTATATAGTGCTATTTTGTGCTTTTTAGGGTCACAGGGGAGGCGGGGGGCAGCTGACATTGGGGCATAGGCTGGATACACCCCGGGACAGGTGGCCAGTCCAGCTCAGGACCACACAGAGAGGACACTTACATTCACTCTTAGGGGCACTTAAGGGTCTCCAATCTGCCTAACATGCATGTTTTGACTCCTGGGGGGAGGCCAGAGTTCCCAGAAAAACACTGTTAGAATTTGGTTATAATTACTCACTTTAGCACATAACATGATCTATGTAAATTACTGATTGTTGTATTCCTTATAGCAGTGTTTTTCAACCACTGTGCCTCGGCGCACTAGTGTGCCGCGAGTGATTGCCAGGTGTGCCGTGGAAAATCATCCTTTTTTTTTATTTAAATAAAATAAATAAATAATCATCCTATTTCACCTTATTGGTCTAAAAATAATTGTTGATATGGACTTAATTATCTGCAAATAATATGCCATTTTTGAGTGTCTGTGCTGTTCTAGTGACTGGTGGTATAATCATGTAATAATTCCTTATGACTAGATTTTGTACATAATTTTATATATTGAAGTGGACATGTTAAGAGCAATTTGAAAGAAGAACTATAAAATATGATAAAAATACATTTTTGTTTATTTGATTCCTATTCAAGACACTTAAGATAAGAATAAGATAAGAATAACTATAGTGTTACTATAGGCGGCTACAGATTTCTTTGACATTTTTGGTTGGTGGTGTGCCTCGTGATTTTTTCAATGAAAAAATGTACCTTGGCTCAAAAAAGGTTAAAAAACACTGCCTTATAGAACTATCATTTTGTGTTAAAGTCTCTGGCTGTTTCCAAAGACTCTGTTTTCTTTCTCTGATTGCTTTGGATCCGCACCATTTGTTGTCATATTCCTTCAGGTCAACACAAACACTCACCATTGTTACCACATTTCAATGATATCGGCATTAACTAGGACCCATTTCAGGGTTAGGGTTAGTAAGTAACCGGCCAATAAGCAGTGTCCAGTCCTTTTTGAGGGGTGTGCCCAGCCCAGATGACAAAAACCCATGACACATAGAGTTCTGCCGACTGAAACCCAGAGAGAGTTTTGTCTGTGAAAAGCCCAGCGCTGATATACTTAACCGTGTCCAATAAATGTTATTTTTGTAATTTTGGTCTACTCTGGTGTATTCTCAGGTTTCCGTATGTACAGGGAGAGAACTGAGTGTCTGTGGTGTAAAGTGCAAAGTGTGAGACTGACTTTGATGCCCTCCAGTTTTTGTTTCTGGAACTCCGTGATGGTCTCCTCCAGTTGTCTAATGCTGTTCTGGACGTTGGTGGAAGCCTTCTGTGCAATGACCTCCGCCTGTCAAATAACAGGAATAAGCTGTGACAAGGATTTGACTCCAGTGTCCACATAAGGTCAGTTATAGGAAGGCATTCAGGAACATTTACATACCTGGGACTGAAAGTTGTCATCAAGAAAATGGTATTGCAGTCTAAGGTTTAAAACAAATAAAGCACTTGCACATACCAGATATTTGATCAGCATCTTGCATCCAGGATTTACAGTGAAAATAGATTATGTTAATATCATTATGATTAAGATATCGATGATCCCCAAAAGAGATACTTACACTATGGGGAGAAGTACCACAATATTGAAAATTGAATTTCAAAGCAGTGAAATTCAAAGTTTAAGCAACAAATTGATATATTTCCAAAGAGATTTTGAACTTCTTGGCCTCTCCCAAGAAGTGTCGCTTTTTGTTGAGGACTATGACAAAAAAAAAGAAAAGAAACAAGAAGTAAAATACAAAGGATACAATGCTTTGTCGATCAGCAGGGTTCCTCCTTCGGATTTTATCCACTTTCTGCAACTCCTTCTGCTCTCTGTTCAGGTCACTGCTGAATTTCTTTAGATCAGTCTGTACAAAGGATGTGCTTTGATTAAATAAAAAGTGCTAAATGCTCAAAGACGCATAGTTTTTTGGTCATCAAGTTATTTGACTTGATGACCAAATAACTATGCACCTTTCTTTGCTAATATGCTGCTTTGTGTAATTTAGCATTGGCAGCAGTCCTGCCCAAAGACTCTAACATCCATCTGTACTCATTAAACACTATCTGTTGTTACGTGTATCATGGTGCCTTTTGGGATTTAACTCACCCTTTTGTTCTTGATTACCTCTCCATAGACTTTTAGAGGATCAACAACTCTGGTCTCCAGCCTCTCTACCTGCCAAAACATTGTTCAGATTACTGAACGAAACTGATGCATTAAGGTAAAGAGTTTTCCTACCTGAGCCTGTCTATAATCCTGAACCATGGCCAGATCTTCGGCGAGGATTTTGAGACCGATCTGAAGCTCAGGGTCCTCCGTGCTGGAGAAATGGAAAAGCTGGGCCACCAACTGGTCCGCCTTGTCTCTGAGCTTGGCCGTCTTCCTGGTGTAGGAGGCCAGGAGGGAGCAGAGCTCCCCCATGTTCTTCTCTGCCACTCTCACTGTCTGCTCCATGCTCCTCACCTGCACATCTCTGAGGAAACACAACACGTGATTAGATTAAAAGAAGAATCACCGAAAGATATGTGGCTATTCAACATGTCGATAATGAATTACTTATTATAACCAAAACCAAGAGTCTTTTCTAGAGATAGAATTATGTAATTAGAACAGTTTAAAGGAGATTTCTCAGGATGTTTTGACGTGTCAAAGCTGTACCTGGAAAGCGGACTGTTCATGTTCCATTTGTTTTCCGCCCTGCTTCTCCTCAGCTCTGCTGTTTGCTCACCTGTGCAGAGCAACTGAAGACCGTCGCCATGGCAACACAGACAACATCAGAGGAGGGAGTGTAAGAGCTTCTCTTTGCCACATGGTGTCAGCATATTTGCAATAACACCACAACACCATGAATCTTTCACAGGCTTTTGTATCTTTGGATTTATTTTTCACAATTAACGCCATTGTAGAAAAACTAACCACTGATTATAATAAATCAAATTCAAAGACTTTATAGTCATAATTGAATAATATGAAAAGACGCATCAGGGAAAGTGCAAGTGAACACATATTATATACAGAGCTGCCAAAATAACTCGATATCTCAGAATAATGGATTAAATATCTAATCCATATTAAATATGGATTGTTGAGTTCTGTTCTTGTTGTGGGTTGTATGCAAACGAAATTTTGTTCTTTTTGAACATTGTCTAAGTCTAAATGTCTAAGTCTAAGTTTAATACAAACATACACTCACAGCCATCATTCAACTGTCCTGTCCTTCTTCATGTTGAAATGCTCCGGATTTTGCCATCTATCTTTGACAAAACATACAAGAAAACGTCTGCCTTCGCTTTTGCAAAGACAGAGGCCTGCTAACTGCTGGATGGCATTTCCTTTTGGAGCAATTTCTCACTGAAAGAGATGATACTGGAGACTTTTGGAGACTCATACTGGAAATAGATCGATAGGGCTGCAATACAGAATTGTGAATATGGTGGAGATGTTTCCTAGTTGATTTTTTTCCACAATTTTGAAACGCTGGCTTTAAAAAAACAAAAAGAGGGAACCAAATAACGAAAAACAAACAAGCAAAAAAAACTAACAAAAAAACAACAACATTCTACTACGCGTCATATTTATTCTTATTTGTTTGATTTGATTATCCAGTATAAAGTTTATTGGGTGCACACTGCTGGGCTTGTGGTGTCTTGGAGTAAAGGAACTGCCTCTGCAAACCACCCGTCCCAGAACATTGTCTCCTCCAGTTAGTGTCTTACATAGAATTTGTAACTTTTATATACATATAAAAACACAGGTGGGTGATGTTGTTTGCTATGTTGCAGAGAAATGTTCAGATTCCTTATTCTGTTAGATCTTCTTCAGCGAAAACAGTCAGTTTTTATACAATATTTTTGTTATTGCAGGGAAAATACAGCGTCCTTCTCTGTGTGAATAATGGAGGCAGAGGGAGGGCTGGCCCTGTCTCTGGGAGAACAAAGCCTGAGCCGGGAACATTTGCTTGTGTGGAAGAACCCGCACCTTGCACCTGGCATTGGGAACTTTTCTTTTTTCAATAAAGACGATTTGTCATTTACCATAGTTGATCTTTCTCTCCCTGTTTCCGGGAGACCTTGTGGGATTCAGCCTTGAGACTGGCTGATGGAGTCATTCAGCGCCGTTTCCACAGAAACAGGATCCCATTTTATATATCTGACTTAAATCAGAGCAACCACCCATTCCTCGCACATGGTAAACAAAAAAAAAACATGATCAAAGTAGGTTGATGGTGTGTGAAAGGGTGAAAATGTACTCTTAAAACACCAGTAATTTATACATATATTAATTTCCTTTTCGTTACATCTATTCAAAAAGCATTCAGTTGCAACATAAGTTCTTCAAAGACACAATCCAATTTGAATATACCATAACCTGCACACAACTGTCCACAATAGAAAGAAACCAGAAATGTTGCCAAACTACAATGATGCACAAAGTTTGGCCATAGTTGGCCTTTTCGTACAAAACAAAACAAAAATAATGTTCCCGTGGTTAATAATTCCTTGTGGTGTGTGACCGTGTTATGCTGCATCACCAGATGACAGAAATTCTGAGTCAACCATCTTTGCTATGGGTCACATGAGCATGACTATGACTCAGTTTGATCTGTTTATCTTTTAGAAACAATTAAAATCATTTACAATATTTAAATGCCAGCTCTTTGTTGTGAGACGTCATGTTTTAGATCCACTACAAAGCAATAGAGAATACATTCAGTATGCTAAAATATTTTTTTACACGTAAAACCAAGCATTTTGTAAATTCTTTTACAGCTAATACATTTGGTTTGTTCCAGTTTTAATTCAACGACATGGGCATCAACGCACTGCGACAGAATGGCAACCAGTCCAGGATGTACCCTGCCTTGGAAAAAAAAACCTTATGAGAAGTTTACAATATCTAAATGCCAGCTCTTTGTTGTGAGATGTCATGTTTTAGATCCACTACAAAGCAATAGAGAATACATTCAGTATGCTAAAATATTTTTTACACGTAATACCAAGCATTTTGTAAATTCTTTTACAGCTAATATATTTGGTTTGTTCCAGTTTTAATTCAACGACATGGGCATCAATGCATTGCGACAGAATGGCAACCAGTCCAGGATGTACCCTGCCTTGGAAAAAAAAAAAACCTTATGAGAAGTCAAATGGCAGCGTTTGACCAAGGCGTCACTGAGGTGAACACAGGAACACAATATTGTTTGAACTCAGTTTAGTTTATTAGTTTAGTCACCCTTCTTTTTTTTTTTTTTTTTACAATAGACAGCATCTCATACTTCTCTTGATACAGTAATCTCTCAGCATCTCATGTCTTTCACCTTTCAAACCCTTTGGGTCATGTCCATCTGGTGCAAACCACAGGAGCACATCGTCACAAGTAAACACACACTTCACAACACAGCCTCTAACAGTACACACACTCAACATGCTCAGTGGCACCACTCCTTAAATATTTCACTCCAACCTAACCAACAATAAGAAAACAAAAATAAACTAACTTTTTTAACCCCCCCTTTCTCCTCAGGCCACTTGGTTAGTTCCAGCCAACCAATTAAACACACCTGGCCCTAATCAGCCAAATCATGAGAGCACCAACTCAGGGAGGGAGAGGCAGAGAGAGGTATATATATATATATATATTTATGACATATATGTGCTTGTTTCTTTCTTTTTCTTAGCTTGAATTTTTTTTCTTAGCATTTTGTTTAGTCTGAAACTTCATCAAGTGCCAAATCTGTGAAATAATCAGGTTGCTGATGATAAAGTGCAGATACCAGTTTAAAAAGAACACGTGATTAAAAGGAATCCCCCAAAAATGTAACTGTGCCTTAATATAGAAACATCTAAATGTAATGTCCAGGTTCTTCCTCTTCTGCTTTCTTTGGTGTCAAACGCTTGAAATGAAGTTTTCCTTTATCACCCTGTATCTAAACTCTTTCTCTCCTTCTTCACAGCTTTGGAGAACCCTGATGGTGTTGACGGTGGTTATGGGTGGAGTGGCCGTCATCGAGCCTTTTATGTGCAGAGGGGGATGGAGCCAGGTAGGCCTGTCTGTGTTGCTTTCTTGGTACCTGTCCACCTGTCCCACCATCTGTCTGGCTAACACAACAGATTGTGAGACAATGGCTAACATGGCCGACTCTTTCACTCAGCAAATATTCACCATCGAAACAGCTTTTGCTCATTGTTGTTTTTTAATTACTCAAAGTAAAACTATGAGATGTCACTATACTGGCTGATTGAAAGGAAAATTTTTTTTAAATATATTGCATATTCTTTGAAGCGGCAGATAGTTCATCCTTGGATCTAGAACCAATTATATTGATAATATAATTTATATTGAATATATGAGCATCACCTTGAATACCGTTCTTTTGCAAAACAGTTCTTTTGAACAGGTATGAAACCCCACTGAACAACACATTTCCCTTCTGGGAAGGCTTTAACAGAGACTTCAAACAGATAAAAAGAAAAAGCCTTGATCTCACTCTTCATTATCTGTGGAGCAACTTCATTAAATACTTAAGATACTACTTCTCTTAACTGTTCGCTTAATCTTTCCAGCTGATTAAATGTTTATTTTTTAAGGTTTACGTTTCTGTTTTCATTTAGTCCCAGGTTTTATATTAACATTTAATCATAGTGAACTTTTTTAAAAGATTAGCATCTCTGACTAAATGCTCTTTTTATTTTCTCAACCTCTGGTAGATTGGAAACATTAATTGGATTTAGATTTAGAAAGAAAAAAGAATACGCTGGACTGGCGACCTGTGGATAGGCTCCAGAAAAGCCTACTTATGCAAAAGCCCTGTTCACATCAGTGTTTAATGCAGAGGATGGCTGTGTTATACCTTATCTTGCAACAAGAACCAGACTTGGATGACTATTTCTGCTTGGATCCTCACATAACATAATTAAGAAACTAAAGTGTGCTTTTAGTGAACTTTCTCTTGGGCATTGTTACCACACTGATGTACTTCTACATTGGAAACAAGTATTGTTAAAAACGTGGTGTGTTGCACCATTCTCCCACAGATCATGTTCTTGCTAATAAGCTTCTCTCCTGTGAAATAATTTTCTGTTTGCGTGCGTGTTCCTGGAGCTGTTCTCTGGTACTGTAAGCGTGCAAATGACTCAGATGTGTTGGTCGCATGCTGTTCGGCGATGTGATTGTCACAGTGTTGAATTTGACCAAACATTTCTGTGTGACTCACCACAGACTGTGCTTGGCAGGTTTTCCCACCCACTGAGTCATTTCCTTCGAAAAAGGATGAGCCTTTATCTTAGTTGGGTATGTATGGGTTAGGGTTGAAATGTAGAGTTGAATTTTATTTCTATTTTTTTATGCCACCACTGCTTTGTGCCGTTCTATACAGCATCAACAAAGTCCAGTTCTTAGCTGAGCTTCCACAGCTTTTCAAAAGACTCACATTTGTGGAAACAGTGGGCTGTTAATATCAGGAGAGAAAATTTTATTCTCACAAATCC